TCAGAGGAGGAGGGGGTAATGATGAGGAGGAGGAGACAGGAAGAGGGTAATCGAGAGGGGGAGGAGACTCAGAGGAGGAGAGGGTGAGACTCAGGGGGAGGGTAACAGGGGAGGGGAGAAACAGGGGAAGGGGAGGAGACAGGGGAGGGTAATCAAGAGGGGGGGACATGGAGGAGGGGAAGATGAAAGGGGTTAAGGAAGTGAGAGCAGCACACTCACGTTTCTGGTACTGCAGTATGTACCCAGTCAGTATGCCGTTGGGCTGGGCAGGGGGCTCCCAGTGGAGGGTCAGAGACGTCTCCGTTGGGCTGTCGAAGTGAAGCGACACAGGCGGGCTGGGCACTGCAACACACGGACAGCACAATGAACAACCAGCCCAACCAGAGAAAGCTCCCGACAGCAGGCCGATTCGCCCCCAGAAGAGATCATTACAGCTGCCTGTGCTTGTGGTTTCAGCCACAGTCCGCAAAGACACATAAACCGACCCATTTCTGCAAGGGGTTCAGTCCTGAACTCATCTTCCTGTTGGGTATCTTCTTACCTCCCAACCACTGTCTGTAAACCCGTGCGGCTGTATGAAATGACACATTAGCCAGGTGTGCTATGGCCTTCACCCATGCACCAAAGGACAATTGCACCCCTGCTCGGGCCCTCCAGAGGTGACTTACATCTGCCTTCATTCTCACGCACAGCAGGCTGAAGAGAAGCCTGGTCTGCTACTACTTTACAGTCATGGAAGATGTCAGATGTTGGACTACCGCACCCACCCTTCTCATCCGCCATCCCCCCTTCATTCTCAAATGGAATATAAAGATGTCGGACAGTACCCCTCCCTCCCTCTCACCTCCCTCTGGAGTGCTGAAGGCAAAGGGCTCGCTAGGCGGCCCCTCTCCTATCTTGTTGAAGACGGTCATGTTGACGGTGTAGCGGCTGTAGGGCCGCAGGCCGCTCACCACCTGGAAGCCCTTCGCCCCGCTGACCGTCACCACCTTGAAGTCGGGCCCCCCCGGCCCGTGCGGAGCCTTGTGACCCGCCCCGCGCTTGCTGGAGAAACGCTTCTGACGCGAGCCGGCCTCCACCCCTCCCAGCCTCTTCAGGTAGATCTGGGAGAGAGAGGAGAGGACAGGAGAGGATTGAGGGGGGTGAGAGGGA